GCGCCCCTTACTCTTTAAAGAGTACTGATGTTTACTCTGGCAGGCACGTTGTTCCTTGTAGATCCGTGGGATTCTCTGGAGAGCTATGTTTAAGCTTTGTTAGTCAGGGTCTGGAGTATCCCATTCTGGGGTCTCTCCTCGTCACAAATGCTCAGAAGCGTCTCTAGTCTGGCCAGATGGAATGAGAAGGTGGCTCAGGCCTATGTAAACTCTGGGAGTTGTTCGGCTTGGAGCTGTCCCGTAGCTGTTCTGGGCATGGCCTGGACTCTTCACACCAGGCACGTACAGGTTCAGCTCTCCACACCTCGGGAGCTCTTTCTTGACATGGCTCCCTGTCTCCAGCCCCATCTCCTGCCATTCCAGCCCCTTCAGCCTCCCAGAAACCTAATCCCATCCCCTCAACATGGTCCGGTCATCCTGAGCTGCTCGGAACCCCTCCTGCCTCCAGACGAGGGGGCTCACCACGCCTGCTTCCTTCTCTCCGAGACCAAGGCCCTGCACTGCCCACTGCCCCGGTGTCTGAAAACAGCTGTGTCCTATATCCTAACCAGCTTTTAATGGTTTATGGCAAGTTCCCTGAGGTTACTCATTTATGGCCAGAAGTGGAAGGACCTAAATTAATGTATAAATACACAATAACAGAAGCCAACAGCCTGCTGGTTTTAGAACAGGAGGGGTTAGGCTCACATGCGCTCAGGACTTCTCCGAGAAATGGCGGACTCAGGCTGGGACAGTAAACACGTAAGCCAAGCCCGGAGAATCTGATCCCACTGAGTTTCTCAGTATTTTGGCTAAAGGAATGGTTTTAGAACCCAACCACAGGAACGTAAATCGGTGGTTCTCAAACTTTTTCTTTTGAGCCACAGGATCCTTTCTTTAAACAAATCCTACAAGGAAGCCCAACGTCTGAGACACTAAAAGGTACCGTTGTAACAGGAGAGGAGGTGGGGAAACCCGACCTCTAGAACACCAAGGTGCCCCCAGCCCCAACCACCAGCCCTGCGAGGGCCCCGTGGGGACGGGGCGGCTGCCAGATGTGGGTCTCGTCTGCTCACCCCTCATCCTGGGACAGACAGGACACACTGAGAACAGGAGCTCTTCAAGGACAAAGCCGAGAGAAAGGTCAAGAACCACAGAGAAGTTAGAAAACACGCAGAACTGTGGTTTTCCAGTGTGGGAGGTGCTTTAGCCCAGAAGGCGCCCATGAAACCTTGATTTGAAAAAGATGGCTCAGAACGGAGGGGGTGGAGGGTGAGGAGAAGCTACTTCCTGTGGCCCCAGCCTCTCCCTAAGGACCCAGACCTCCAGCCCGGCATTCTAGAACATGCCACCCGCAAACAGCCCTCCCCGGGGGCGGAGCCTGGTATGTGCCATCCGCCCGCACTTCTGCGGGCCACATGCACGGTGTTCTGGGTGCAACTGGCACATCGCTCTCAGAGAATTAGAGGAAATGTCCAGAAAGCTCCAGGCAACGGCTGAGAGGAGCCCAGCTGCCCAAAAAGTCAACACGAGTGAAACCACGGGGACGGCTCTTTTATGGTGTCATAAAATACCCCAGGGTGAGTGGGTGTGAAGGTGCACCTGATGCTGGAGAGCACCTGAACACTCAACATCCCTTCCCGTGGCAGAAAAGGCCGGGTGGTGGGTCTGCAGAAGGCCCGTCCGTTTTTCTCTAGGGAACAGCTTCAGACAGTGTAGACGGCGGCTGTTTGGCACACTGCGGTCTGCACACACACGGGACTGAGGATGGAAGGACAGCGCTGACGCGTCCACTCCTGCCCGCACAGGCTCCGGGCTGGATCTGCAGGGCTCACGTGGAAGGAACTGCCTGGTGGTCGCCCCTCCACTCCCCAGGCAGGCTTCCAGGGCCACACACACACACACACACACACACTCAGAATTAGAAGTTCTGACACTTGGCCCCGGCCAACGGCTACCCACTGGGGGCCTACAGTATTCCCTAACAGCACACACCTCCTTAGGCCAGCCTGCAGCCAACAAAGAGGATGCAGGACACCCATCACACACGCTTCTCCAAGGTAAGCACGTTCCTGTCCCCTCTCTGGGTCCTGGCCTCTGTCTTCACAGCAGGTGGTGCTGGCCTGGATGCTTAGGGTGGGTGTGAGCACGAAGCCCACAGAGTGCTTTGTGAAGAATGCAGGGGCAGGGGCTCTCTGCTTCCCCCCACTCGGGATAATCAGAGACAAGGCACGAAAGGCTGCGTTTGCGGTGTTGCCCCTCAAGTGTGGGACCACCGTGGTGCCCGTGAGCTTCCCCTCCATAAGCACCACACAGGCCAGGCGGACTCCAAAGCGTGGCACCCACATCCCCCGGGGCCTCAGTCGTGAGCCTGCAACACTGGGACTGATATGCTCTCTCCCTGAGATGCACCCAAAGGACACAGGAGCCCAGCTGCCTGGGACTCGGCCCACGTCTTGCTAACCAGGCCGTCCCGGTGAAGGGTGGTGCATGCACCGTGGGACAAGCACGGCAGAGACGCCGGGTGACCGGCTGCCCTACAGCTGTTCTACGGGCATCACGTAGCTCCACAAGCACAAGCCCACACGCCCCAATCTACCGAGGGCCCCGGGGCAGCTGACTGCAGAAGGAGAAAATGGAACCTGGCGGTTCAGAGACCGGGCTTGCTCCCGCTGGGGCGCCCCCGCCACAGGCAGGGGGACAATTCTTTGCTACAGAAGAGCAGGGGTGGCAGGGATGGAGGACACAGGGAGGTTCAACAGCGACACATAGGCAGCGCCAGGCCTGGAGCAGCTGGGAATGAGGGTGAGGCTTCTGGGGGGACCCCTCATTCAGGCAGACCTCCTGGCTTTACCGCATGTCTGCTCTCTGTGCGTTACCCATTATCGGACTCTATTTGCAAATTTAACTAAACGCCAGTCAGACTGGATTCCCTCTGAAGTTTCCCCGTCATCTGATTCTGGGGATGGACAAAAATCTATAAAGTCCAATTCAGCATGGAGACAACCCTGTGACAAGGGGACTGGCCACGTGGGAAGCGCTCCGCGTGATGACAAGGACCGTGGGCCAGAGTCAGCCAAACCGAGGCCTGGGGCAAACGCCCCTGAGCTCAGGCTTCTCACCCGGGTGGCAGGACAGGAGCAGCCCTGACGTGCCAGGGTGCTCAGTGAGGGTGGCATGAGCCAGCGGATATAACGCGCGTAGCAAACAGAGCCTAGCGTGAGTAAACGCTCACTGAAGGGTGGATTTTAAACTGTACAGGAGGTCTTTATGCTTGACAGAGACGTCTGCAGGATGTTCCCATCCCCGGGCTCAGGTGCATGGACTGAAATCCCTACCAGCGGGGTCCTGTGCCTTACGCGAGCTAGTCGTGTGAGGGCTGACAGGTTACTAGCCACCCAGTGCTAACACCTGGCAGCCCTCAGCAGCCGATGCCACGCCTTCCGCACAACATCGGCCCGCCAGCCGTCCCGGAGCGACCTCAGCGGGAGACGCAGGGGTGGCGTGTCGGGAGCCGCTGGAAGCTCCTCGGCCACCGGGACCACAGGGGCTGCGGCCACGGGCTGGGGTGAGTAGGCAGAGGCTATTTTTACGTGGCATGTCTTGGCTATTTCAAGGTTTGGATTTTTATTTATTTTTTTTAACACAAGAGGAAGTTGTACTTTCTCATGACTCACTTCTTTCAAAATGGTGTCCTCGGGCATCGTTAGGGCCTCGTTCACGTTACCATGTCATTCAGAACTTGAAAAGGCTAACAGTTTAGAATTATGTCTGGATTCTAAAGCTGGAAAGAACACCGATGTTAGTATTTTTCCACAAAAAATTTAACATAATATTTTCTGTTGAAAAATATGTGTATAAAACACGAATCTGAAAGATGTTAGATTTTTACCCTCCAGAATACCTTCAAGCTCACAAGCTCCTGACAAAACAGAAAGCTTGCAGGGACCACACTGGCCGCCTGCAGTGCCTGTAACCGGAGGGGCACCCCGCGCCCGACGCGCCCTCGTCCGACCAGACGCCTCCACTCCCAGCCTGGAACCAGCCTCTGTCCCCTGGGGGAGAACATACTGGCCCCCATGCTGCCAACGCAGCGGCCATCTGCTTTATTCACACTCAGTAATACGAAAGATCACGCTCAGTTCAATCTCACAGCTTTAAAAAGTCACCAAGAGGAAGGTATGAGACCCATTAAAATGTGGTGATGTCCACGAACACCGCACAACGTGGCGCAAGCAGCCAGAACCCAGCAGGTCCTGCAGATGTGCAGACTCTGCCGGCCTTTCTCCCAGGCGATGGTGACCCCCAACCCCCGCCGGTGCGGCAGGAGACAGCAGCTGCCTGCAGGACGGTCAGGCACTGGGGGTCCCTGGGACTGGGACTAAGTCCACCCCGACCGCACAAGAGTCGCGGCCGTGGCGGGGAGGAAGAGGAGGGGGCCTCTCGGGTCAGTCACCGACGCCTGCTGGACAGGTGCACGCAGGCGGTTTCAGGAGCAAAGGGAAGGGGAGCGCTGCGAGATGACTAACACTGAGAGCAGAAAAACAACTCTGATTCCTAATGGACTTGCCCCAAATACCTGCTATTTCTGGGGTTTAAATTTCTTTCTGGAAATGCTTTTGTGAAAGTCCTAGGTTAAATTCTCTAAGTATAATTAGTACAGTACTCTCTAGGCTTAGGAAATCCAGTGCTTAGTTTTAAAAACAAGCAAGACCATTTCAGTTCCAACAAATGACGACGAGTCATCATCTGAAAGGTACACAAGACCTACTTCCAATGCTTTCACGCTTAAAAAAAATTGTATCAGTGGGTGAAGAAAAGCAGTTAAATCTGGAAACTTCCATAAAAATGTGTAGTGGGACCGAGCTCACTGCCACAGTATGGGAGAAAAAAGGCCAGCAAAAAAATGGTTAATGCTGGCCTTCTCAGGAGGCCGTCCAGCGGTGCAGAGCACAATGGGCGGCCCTGGGAAGCCTATAAAGTCTGCAGTGCCCCGGTGTCCAGAGCAATGACCGGCATTCTGGCAGGTCAGCCTCGTGCACCAGGCCTCCCTCCCCAGGACCACCACTCCGGCATTCTTCGACGGGTGGAACCAAGTCCAGAATCCCCACCACCCGAGGGAGAGCTGCAGCTACGCCTCCAGCCTGCCATGAGCACGTTTGCAGAGGCTGGCTGACAAGCCTTCCAAGGGACGGGGGAAGGGTCTGCTCAGAACCGGCCCAAGTTGGGGTGGCTGGCTGCGGTGCAGGTGAGTCTCCATCCTGGGTTCCTGGTTCTGCGTTGGGGGCGATGGAGACCGCCAGGCGGACCTGGCTCAGTGGTCTCGGGTAAAGTGCCACATGTTATGCTTACAGCTGGATGCAGACGTGGATACACAGGCCACGCTCTGGTGAGAGGGGCATTGAGGCTACAGACCCCCTCCTCCACGTAAGAACCCAGACATGGCTCTAACAAGCTCAGCGTGACTGTAGTCGGGGAGGCTTATGCACAAAGGTTCTTTCTGTAACGCATGCCGAGAATAATATCCAGTATTCTGTTGTATTTCGCTCAAGCAAGGGGCTGTCTCGCATTAGGACAATCAGACGGCTCTGTCTACAGTACCGCTCTTCAGTCACTCAATGAAAACACTCGCCCAAGCCACACGTCTGGGCGGATTAGTATTCCTTCACAAAGATACACACCCAGTAGATTTGACAAATGTGGTTTTAGTTTTCTAGAACTAGACAAGCAGTGGAAACGTGAAACAAAACGATACCAAACTGTTTCATGCTCATCTTTATAAATTCATGGTCAACACTCAGGAGAGTGCTGTGGCGGTAGGAAACGCACCCTACTTCCTATGTCGGTTCTAGGCCGCTATGAAATAGCAGTATTTGCCAAGGATCAAAGGACTCATGTACATGGGAAAGAAGTGCAGGACTTGCTTTAAAACTCTTTCCACACGGCCTATCTTGACAAACACAGGAACAGGACGAGTGTGCGTGGTGGGCTCCCCTCACCTTCAAGTCTTCCTCTGGAAGCACTGGAAACGGCCCCAAGTTTCCACATTTAGAGAGCAAAACAAGCACTCGCAGCACTTTTTACAAAGAAATTAAAAACAGAGGCTTTAAACGTTACAGATAGTATCTGGGAACAATGACATTTATGTGGTTCAAATTGGTACTATCTACTAAAGATGAATAAAAAAATGCAAAATAACTAATAAACTTATCATCACCGCTAAGCAAAGCTTACTGAATATTTTTTAAATAATAACTGACCCTAAGGCTGTGATTTATGTTTTTTTGCTTTTCTGCCTTTTTTTTTTTTAAGCAGTATTTTCAAGCATTTGTTCAATAAATGTCTAGTCTGGTTTGGCAACACTTCAAAAATGACTCCTAATGATCTCACAGGGTAAAACAAGAACTCTCAACAGAAAAACAATTCAAGTCCATTTTAATGTGCCAGGTCGGCTTCCTTGGGGTCTCTCTCATCCTCCGTGGCGGGCCCCTCCTCGATGCAAGGGCACCCCTCCCCAGCTGTGATGGCCCAAATACCACCACGGCTGCCCAGCGAACCCTGGCTGAGTCGCCTGTCAAGACCGCGGATGAGCCAGGTGTGGTGGACGGCCCCGTAGGCTAGACCTGTCAGCAGCAAAGGTCTAAAGGGCTTTGCTCAGGCTTTTTTTTCCCCCCAGCTTCTAGGTTACAAACATTACAAAAATATATTAGATTTTACAATAATTTATGAAAACATTGGATATTTACTAAAGCCAGTACCATTTTTATGATTTTTTCTCTTTCATTTCATATCATGAAAAAAGTTTCATTTGGGGCACCCAAGCTTAGGTCAGCAAAAAAAAACAAAATCAAAAAACAAACTAGATTTCTTTTATCTGTTTTATTGTAAGAGATTCTGCTCCAGTTTCCACGAAGCATTCTGGGTCCACTATCTTCAGAGAAGCTGGGTTTTTCCCTTCCCATCTTAGTTCTCTTTCCAACAGCTGCTGAAATAAATTTTATTTCCTCTGCTGGCAAATAGTACTTTTCCTGAGATTTCCATACCCAACAGCCATGTTACTTCATAAGCCTGCTATTCAACTATTTTAAAAAATAGGCGTCCACCGCGCATTAGGATGACTCACAGTCCAGGCTCCAGTCAGACTGAGCGGCCCGGGAGCCCTGGGGACAGAAAACGGGGCATTTTCTATACTTAATTCTTCTTCCTCAGCTCAGTGACAACCATCTCTCCGAGACACTAAGGACCTCAAGTCCCAGCCTTCCCTTCACATGCATGTGCCTGCCGTCACCCTGTGGCCATCTGCTGCAGAGACCGTCCTCATCAGAAAGCCATCAGAAAGCCGTAGAGACTTGAACCAAAGACTTACTCCTGTTCTGTATGCTTCTCTCAGGTGCGCAGGTAGTGAGCGCCATCCGGTGGGCGCTGAACACAGTAGTCGACGCCCAGCAGACGCCCGGCAGACGCCCAGAAAAAGAGTCTCTCGCGGTGTGGACATGGATAACCTTCTCCATTTGCTCAGCTTTCTGCAAAACAGACCCACACTGCTTCCGGTGGTGCCTGTGATGAGCTCTGCTCTTACAAACATCTGGCTCACTTCAAAGAGCATCACCTTTCTTTCTAGAGATGGATTTATCGTTTAAGTTGGATTTCTGTGAGCTGTGTGGCAAACCGTGAAAGCTGTGCATCTGGGGATATGGACGTGACTTCCCCAGTGCCCGCCTTGGGCATGGAGACGCACCCCGGCACCTCCAACAGCACCCCCCCAGAGCTCAACCTGTCCCGCGCACTCACTGGCACCGTCCTGGCGAACCAGACAGGAGAGCTCTCCGAGCACCAGCAGTACGTGATTGGGCTTTTCCTCTCCTGCCTGTACACCATCTTCCTCTTCCCCATCGGCTTCGTGGGGAACATCCTGATACTGGTGGTGAACCTCAGCTTCCGGGAAAAGATGACAATCCCGGACTTGTACTTTATCAACCTGGCGGCGGCTGACCTCATCCTGGTGGCCGACTCCCTGATTGAGGTGTTCAACCTGGACGAGCAGTACTATGACATCACTGTGCTGTGCACCTTCATGTCCCTCTTCCTGCAGATCAACATGTACAGCAGCATCTTCTTCCTCACGTGGATGAGCTTTGACCGGTACATCGCCCTGGCCAAGGCCATGCGCTCCAGCCTGTTCCGCACCAAGCACCACGCCAGGCTGAGCTGCGGCCTCATCTGGATGGCCTCTGTCTCTGCCACGCTGGTGCCCTTCACTGCGGTGCACCTGCAGCACACGGAGGAGGTCTGCTTCTGCTTTGCAGACGTCAAGGAGATCCAGTGGCTGGAAGTCACCTTGGGTTTCATCATCCCCTTTGCCATCATTGGCCTGTGCTACTCGCTCATCGTCCGGGTGCTCATCAAAGCTCACAAACACCGAGGCCTGCGCCCGAGGAGGCAGAAAGCCCTCCGCATGATCTTCGCAGTGGTCCTCGTGTTCTTCATCTGCTGGTTGCCAGAGAACGTCTTCATCAGCGTCCACCTGCTGCAGCGCACACAGCCAGGAGCTGCTCCCTGCACGCAGTCTTTCCGCCACGCCTACCCGCTAACTGGCCACATCGTCAACCTGGCGGCTTTCTCCAACAGCTGTCTGAACCCCCTCATCTACAGCTTTCTGGGGGAGACTTTTCGGGACAAACTGAGGCTGTACATTGAGCAGAAAACCAACATGTCAGCTCTGAACCGTTTCTGCCATGCTGCCCTGAAGGCAGTCATCCCAGACAGCACCGAGCCGTCGGATGTGAAGTTCAGCAGCGCCGTATAGAGGCGGCCAAGCAGTGTCAGCACAGGCCCAACACTGTGTCACCCCAGGGCAAGGCGGGAGGAAGGGCTGGGCCACACCGTGCCCTGAGCCCCGTCAGAACTTGCCAGCCCGCCTGTGCCCCAGCTGTGGGCACACGTGGGCTCTGAGGAGCCCACACTGCAAGCCACCCTGACTTTGGGCCGAGCACACAGCACTGGGGCTCCCCACCCACATCACGGCTGCGGGGCATGGGGCTGGTGTGAGCGGGCGCCGGGCATGGGGGCCACTCTGCACACATTGTGCCCCACAGCAAAGGATGTTTCTCACGTTGGCCAATGAAAGCAAAACCAAGGAGACATTTTGGAGGCAAGACCTTAGTTTCAAGGTCGATCTGCCATAAATCTGCCACCCTTGGGAGACAGAACACACTCAGCGGATCTGAACTGGATACTGTGGTCCATCCCCCACGTCTGTGGCCTATGGTTTATTATGCGTACTAACAAGCGCACTTGAGTTAGAGGGGAATGGAGAAGCGCTTCTCCCAGGCACACCCCTCAGAGCGGCCCCTCGCCGACAGCAACTGCGTGACCCTGAGCACTCGGGCCGCCTCAGCCGGAAGGCTCTTCTGCAACCAGAGACCCCCCTGCTGTCCGAGTCGCCGGCCCAGTGCTGCCCGTTTGTGGGTGTCTCTGCACCTACACCACCAGGGAAGGAGCCCATGGGGGTACAGCCTGGGGAGAAAGATGACGGCAACGTATACAGTTTTCCTTAAAACGTACAAAAGAAAAACTAGTGATTGCTAAGAACGTCCAGCCTTTCTCAATAAAACATAGTCACGTCCTGATTCTCACTTCTCTGAGTTGTTCGCTGCGGGGGGGGGGGGAGCGCGCGCAGCAGGGTGGGGGTCCTTGAGCCTCGGCAGCAGAACCAGTCTTTACTCACAAGGAAACCCCCGTCCCTGGCGTCACTAAGCTCAGGACCCAGCCAGAGCTCCCTCATAGGACCAACGTCTAAACCCAGCCACTGGCACGCACCTGGCATCTCCAAGATGTCTGACTCTCTGCTGCACAACCCTGCATGCCAGAGCAAGCATCACGGAGATGTACCACATGCCCTGGTTCTTCCGGAAGGCTCTGTCCTATCAGCATCAGGTACGGTGCCTGCAGTAGCTCAGAGTGCTCATGAGGCAGCTGGGGGGCAGAGGGGCTTCTGTCCTCCAAGACAGGCCAGCTGGGGGGCCCTATCCTCTAATGCACGGGAGCTGGGGGTCCTGCCCTCCAGTGTGGACTGGGGCTGGGGGTACCAGCCTCTAATGTGGGCTAAGACTGGGGACCCCTGGTCTCCCTTTTGGGCTGAGACTGGGGAGCCCTGGCCTCCAATGCGGGCTGAGGCGGGATCAAAGTGAACCCCACTCCTCCTGCCCCATACGCTCCACTCAGGGGGCCCACCTCCCCAGAACAGGGGGCCCTCAAGGATTTTCACACAGGCAGGGCTTCCTGCAGGAGAGGCGAGACAATGTTTAGGTAATAGGGAAATGAGCCATTTGAAGTTTCAGTGGTGTTTATGGGTGCAAATCTTTAAGAAAGAGAGCATCCGTCCCAAGTAGATATTTGCGTCGACCAACTGTCACCTTGCAGAAATGCCATCTCCAGCACCCAAGTCCCACTTCAGACTTACTTTCCAAATAAACATCCCCGTTGCAGGACCGGAAAACCAACCGGCTGCTGAGGACGGTTCCCATGCACTAGGAGCTCTGCTGTGAGGAATATTGCTACAGGGTAGCCGCATGAGCTCGCCCACGGCGCTGTCACAGGACACCCACCCTGCAGCCGAGGTGAGGGGAGCAACTCCCAAGGAAGAGTCCTCCTTCCACCCTCTGCCCCCCCCAGATCCTCCAAAAGTCACGAGTCTACGCGAGGTACAGACACCGCATTGATGCACCTCATCCTATAAAAGCCAGGAGAGGTTCTAAGATGCCTTCCCTCACATATCCTCTGAGTCCCCCGTGGAACAGCTTCTCAGGATGGGCTCTGCCCCAGCCCAAGGCCTGGTCAGAGCAGATGGCCATGCCCAAGGACCCGGCCTGCAAACCCTGCTCTTTACCAAGTCCCCCCTTTGACTTCAGTGCTGACAACTCCAAGTTGCAGAGCGGATGCACAGACTGGCACCCCAGCCGCGAGCATCTGACTATGTGTAAGGGTTCATCAAACACATGCACCATTCCCAGTGTGAAAAGCGGTGGCAGGGAGGTGTCTGAAGACTACACAGAGCCTGGAGACCCAGGCTGTTTAGCTGTAGCTCTTGAGAAAGAGTGGGGAGGCAGACAGCACATCAGGGAATCAGGCCTGCTCTCTGATCCTGCCAATAAACCCATGAGGCACACACTGTCCCCATTACTCAGAGTCCTGAACTGCTTGAAATCTTGAATGGTAAGGTAGCCAGGAACTGACCCACAGCCTATGTCTCCAAAGCCCACGTCCCTTCCTCTACAGCACTCGGGGATCAAGAGGTCAATCAGGGTCACAGGCTCAATCCTTTCCCAAAGGTGCACCAGACGGGACGTTCTGGGCAGGGAGGAGTGGAATGGAGAGCCCCTCCAAAGATGTCTGGGCAGGAACTGTGCCTGGCCAAAGCCCCAAAGCATCGGTCAAGGGCAGGGACCTCCTATCCCCAGGCAGCCCTCCACATGGGCTGTCATCCACACGGCGGACATGGCTGTGAGAGCCGGAAAAGGCCAGCCCTGCACTCATCAGCCATCTCCTGCTCCTGAACGGCCTCACCAGCAGGTCTTTCACAGCTGGTGCTTGCCCGGGGCACAGGTCCAACAGGGCCAGACACAGCTCCTACCTCTAACCTTTCGAAGCCCATCTCCTGATGCGTAAACTGGCAGCAGAACTCCCCCAGAGAGTCCACTGGACGGTCACTAGAAGGGCAAGTGCAAGGTAGAGATCCTGACTCAACAGAAAGGAATTCTTAGCCCAGGCTGGACAGGCGGCCTCTGGAGTCTTCTCTGAGCCCGAGACCCTAGAGCCCGCGTCAGAGACGACGGAGCCTGTGTGTGCAGGCTGCCTGGCCCATTCAAACGCAGGCCATTCTCAGAAGCATTTGCCTGAGAGCGGAGGCTGATTTAATTATTTTGTCAGGAACGCCACAAGATAAAATCAAGGCATTTGGTTGCCTTGCTGTTTCCTGGTAGCCTGGCTCTCCCAGGCACTGGTGCTCTGTAACCCCACCAAGAGCTCAAAAGTATGGAGCTGTAAGCACACAAGACCCACTGGTGCTAGCACCGAAGAGGACTTAATAATTTTCTTTGTGCTTAATAATTAACTCTTGATTATGAGGGTGACACTTCCCAGACCCTGCATCCCCCTGGGAGGGGTGGAGGCATTTGGGCCATGACAGCCTCCCTGGGACGTGCCCTCTCGTCTTTCAAGGTGGTATGGGTGAAGCAGTCCTGAAACTTTTACACACATTCTGAATGGAGCATGTTCGTCACTGAGCCCAGTTGTTCTCAAGCGGACGGCAGGAGATGCAACGTGGAAGGGAGAAGGGCAGGCAGGGAGGGCCCCGGGGCTGATGGAATTGGGGGTGTCCAGAGAACCCCGAGATCTCTAAACTAAGAATATGTGCAGGACGGCTCACGGTGTGTGCACATGCGTGATCTTATGCTCTCTAGCTCCATCTGCTCCAAGAGGCCAGGAAGGGCCTGAGCGGCTATGGGCCCAGCAGCACCCAGGCCATCCCCCTGAAAAGAAACCAGGCTCCTCAGAGAAATGGCCAATTCAGGCAGGGCAGGAGTACAAGGTGAGCCCTGGCATGTGGTGTTCTGCCAGAATGAAGAAAAGCTTCAAGAGAACGACAGAGTCACATTAAAATGACACGGGGACCTACCTGAAGGGATCCCACTAGCCAAATTCAGCATCAAGACAATTATAGACTACTGAAAGATAAGAATCCATGCGTCCATTCCAGCAATGAATACAGGAAAACATAACGTAAATGAAATGAACGCTGAAATAAACAAACACAGTACAGTCACACAGAGTGAGTGAGCCTTGCCTGCCTGAGAGCGGAGGGCTCCCACGGGCTGGCGATGGGGGAGGCTACTGTGGCGGTCTCAGCGAAGCCGGGGACAGGCGAGAATTCCTAACGGAGGCTAAACCCAGGACACCTGATGGAGCAGGACATCTGTAGAGGCTTCGTGCGTCCCGTCCGGCTGGCCGTCCGGCTGCTTCTGTGTCGGGGAGACAGGCACCACATAACAGACGGGACGGCCCTTCACGGAGAGCCGACGAGGAACTCACATGGGCAAGGGCGGTCCAGATGTGGACCCTAAATAGTGCACGACGTCTCCATGTCCTATCTGGGATTGTGACCTCAACCTGGACAGGAAGAAGTATCAGAAAATCCAAAATGCGGATGGGGTAATGATCCAAAACGTCACGTCAAAGAGACAAAGAAAGGCAGAGGGAGTGTCCCAAATTAAGACAGGGTAAAGAGATAAAGCAACTCAGTGCAGCATGTGACCCTCAACAGGACGTTCTGCTAGAAGGAAATGCTGCAAGGATACTGTTATGGGGCCAGGGGACAGGAGGAACTGCTTGGTGCTGAGAGCTGTCCCGCGGTACATGAGATAATGCTCTTCTTCTAAGAAAACACACAATTCAGTATTCATGGCTGGGGCATATCCACAGAAAGATGCAGACTGAGGACAAGCATGCACACAAATGTCAAAGCAAATGGGACAAAAGGTGCAGAATGTCCATTCCAGGCCTGGGTATAGACCCAAAAGAACTGAAACAGGTGTTCAGACAAAAACTTGTACATGATTACTCACAGCAGCACCATTCCCAATAGCCAAGAGGTAAAAACAACTCAAAGGTCCACCAACAGCTGATGTTCTAGCCGCCAACAGATGATGGTCTGGCCACACAATGGGATCCTATTTGGTCACATAAGGGAATGAAGCACAGACACCTGCCACGGCGTGGACGAACCCTGAAGACCTGAGGCTCAGAGAAAGAAGCCAGACGTGAAGGGCCATGTGGTCTATGACTCTGTTCAGCAGGCCCATCTGCAGCGACCGGAAGCAGGCAGGGGGCGCAGGGGCCGGGGGAATGGGGAGGGACACTAACGGGGACCAGGTTTCTCCAGGGGGTAAAGAAAATATTCTAAAATTAGATCGTGGTTAACAGTCAAATAACTCTGAATACACTGAAAACCACTAAGTACACACTTTAAAAGGGTGAATTTGCATTACATAAATTACGTCTCAGAGAAAGCTGCTGTTTAAAAACAAACCCACCACCCCCCCGGTCATGTGTTCCCACAGCGGTTCTTCCCTGCTCAGACACGGGCTCGCGCCTGTAAAACCACTCGGTGCCCTCCAAGGCAGTGCGGGGTCTGCCGGCGCTCTTCCCTCCACCCACCGGGGGCTTTACAGGTGCCAGGAACACCTGCCAACGGGAAGGCTGATCCACCCAGGGTCCCAGAAGCTGCCTTCTCCTAACAAACACTCTCTCCTTGCACACTGCCACGTAGTTCAGGCTTTACTTTCTTTTCCATGGTGGGAAACTGAGCATTTGGGGTGTCTTCTGACATGCTGGCAAATTAAAAACAGACCAACAGAACTTGAATAAGAAGTAAAGCTGAAGGGGCACCTGGGTGGCTCAGTCGGTTAAGCATCTGCCTTCAGCTCAGGTCATGAACCCAGGGTCCTGGGATCGAGCCCCACGTAGGGCTCCCTGCTCAGTAGGGAGCCTGCTTCTCCCTCTCTCTCTCCCCCCGCTCATGCTCCCTCTTTCTCTCTAATAAATAAATAAATCATCTTAAAAAAAAAAAAGA